GAAGCGGTGAAACGCGACCCGTGCACACACAGACGCGCTGTCGCATCTTACGTTATGTTCAGGATGCAAACGGGGCTCCGGAACGGATCCCGTTTGCATCCCGAGGTACCACTGTATTTGCAGATGCCACCAAATAAAACCATATTTCTAAGGGATTTGCCACCCATGTGACTGTGCTGTGCTATATTTAATAAATAACCCCACAAACAGAGGTGAAATAAGAAGGCTCAACATCTCCCCTAGCCGTAGAAAAATAACATGCCATTTTTTCCCCTGAAATAGCAATGAACATAACTGTTTTTAATATATATAGAGGCTGGTGGGGGTGGCTTGGGAGAGGGCCTTCTCTGTGGTGGCCCCTAAGCTGTGCAAGAAAGCTTCTGTGCAAGAAAGCTTCTGTGCAAGAAAGCTTCTGTGCAAGAAAGCCTAACACATAACTTTCTTGCACAGCTTAGGGGCCGCCACAGAGAAGGCCCTCTCCCAAGCCGCCACCCCCCCCAGCCTCTGAGGGCAGAGGAACTAGTAAGATAGCCCCCTCTGCCAATCTTAGCACCCCAGAAGGACTGTAGGGAGATAAACTCCCAGCCTCCATATCTGGGTTCGTGCAATATTTTGAACAGCTGCACAGGTGTGTGGAGGGCAGAGGAAGACCAGCAACTGGCTAAAATGTCAGTGCTTCCCAGAAACTAATGCTAAACCATTGACTAACTTCCTGCTGAGTTACAGTATGGACCTATTATTCCTCCAGCCCTTCCTCTCCAGAGATTGGAGCACTCTCTTAGCCTGACAACAAGCCTGCGAGGTAGGCAAGGTATATGCTGCACTACTGCGGAAGAAGAGAAGGATGTGTTGTACGGGAAAGGAATCCAGTTTCTCAAGAACGTTTGGCTTTTAAAAGGAAAAAGAACCATCTCCGATGGTTTTCGTGTAAATACATTTTCAAGGCGTCGCTCCAAATCCTGGCAGGTCCGCTATCTGGGGAGAAAAAACACATTTTTCTAAGCAACAATAGCCTGCAATTTGAATGCTGGGGGGGGGGGAGCAACATCCTTGAAAACAGAAGCATTTCCTTGAGGGGTAATTTCTGAATTCCACGCAGTTCAGTTAAAAATAGCCCGATGATAGATTGGGTGGAGCTCCACTGAGCCTCCAAGTTCCCAGTCCATATGGAACATCTCTCTGAAGCAAGCCATGCTGGAACAAACCGGGGGTCTGCTGGAGCCCAGCCACCCATGAATCCCCTCTGGTTTAGCAGGTGTTGTGCAGGAGATCTTCCTCCTGGTGGATCGCCCTGAAAAGTTCCTTTAAGATGTTTCAGTTCTTGCACTTCTGCTCCAAGGAAAGCTTCCTTACTTCTCCCCTCTTCCATTCACTGTTGAAATTCAGACTGTCGGCACTTGGGACTAGGAGGGCTGTGTTTTGGTCTTATTGACAAGAGTGTGACATATGCACTGATGGTTCTATGCACTGAATGGCCATGCTGCCTACTCTAAAGGCAACGAAGGCCTGTGTCCAATGCTTGCCCTACTCAAGGTAGGCCCATTGTAGGTAATGACTGGGAGCGGCCATTGAGACCACATAACACCGGTCTTGACCGGCTCCCAGTACGTTTCTGAGCACAATTCAAAGTGTTGGTGCTGACCTTTAAAGCCCTAAACGGCCTCGGTCCACTATACCTGAAGGAGCGTCTCCACCCCCATCATTCAGCCTGGACACTGAGGTCCAGCGCCGAGGGCCTTCTGGCGGTTCCTTCGCTGTGAGAAGCCAAGTTACAGGGAACCAGGCAGAGGGCCTTCTTGGTAGTGGCGCCCGCCCTGTGGAACGCCCTCCTACCAGATGTCAAAGAGAAAAATAACTACCAAACTTTTAGAAGACATCTGAAGGCAGCCCTGTCTAGGGAAGTTTTTAATGTTTAATAGGTTATTGTATTTTAATGTTTTGTTGGAAGCTGCCCAGAGTGGCTTGGGAGACCCAGCCAGATAGGCGGGGTATAAATAATAAATTATTATTATTATTATTATTATTATTATTGGCATGGTTACCTTACTGCAATCTTAGGCTTGGATTCAGCTATGTACCCTACCCTGGAAGTAAGACCCATTGCATGCTATGGGCCTTCTGAGAAAGCATGCCGAGTCTCTGTGACTGCGAGAACAACTTTGGAAACAAGTGTTCCTGGATATTGTTTCTCTTACCAAAGCATGCAATCGCATTCCCCTGCTGCTGGCTTATTTTCAATACTTGCTTTTTGGCAGCGGGAGCAGAGCAGAGACGCTGGCAGGCCTCTGGACAGATCCTGTAAACAGATCAGTTTTGTTTGGCCCTCCGCAATTTTTCAACTGTGTTTGCTCGGAAAGGGGGAGGGATATTTCCAAGTCGTAAACGAGAGACAGACGCCATGCATTATCGTTCTCTCGGTGTTTGAATGTGACGGCCCATCTATAGCTACATGCGTGGAGATTTCGCGTGTAAAGCTACCACTGGATGGCACCAGCTTCATATGGATTGCAGAACCTGTGAAGTGGTCAGTTTGTGGGGTGAAACGGCTTTCTCCTGGCCTCTAGAGCACTGTCTGGAGAAGGCAGCGATGCCCAAGAAAATACACCGTATTTTTCGCTCCATAGGGCGCACCGGACCATAGGGCGCACCTAGTTTTTAGGGGGGGAAATAAAGAAAAAAAATTTTATGTCTTGACTTCGTTTTTAGCCACGGGGCTGGGGCGGGGGAAGCCCGAGCTTCCCCCGACCCCAGCCCCCAGAACAGGCTGGTATCCGCAAGCCTTCGGAGCCCGGTGGGAACTCCCACCGCGCTCAGAAGGTTTGCGGATAGCTGCCTGAAGCCTGGAGAGCGAGAGGGGTCGGTGCGCACCGACCCCTCTCGCTCTCCAGGCTTCAGCGAAAGCCTGCATTCGCTCCATAGGACGCACACACATTTCCCCTTCATTTTTGGAGGGGGGGAAATGCGTCCTATAGAGCGAAAAATACGGTAAGTTGACAATCCCTGAAACAGAGATCTAGTTCTCACTGAAATAGTAAACCAGTGTCCTGACAGTACCACTTCATATTGCCAGTAGGGTTTGCATTACTGGCCATACACCATCTCTCCACCTCATAGAAAAGCTAGCATCTCGCCCTTCTCCTGGACATGCTAAGTTTCTTTTTGCAGGGAATTGTATTTTATTTTTTTCTAGCAAGGACAATTTAATCATGCAAGCCTCTATGTGCATTCTGAAGTGCGTTGCAGCCCAGATAAAAGGTAAAGGTACCCCTGCCCGTACGGGCGAGTCTTGACAGACTCTAGGGTTGTGCGCCCATCTCACTCAAGAGGCCGGGGGCCAGCGCTGTCCGGAGACACTTCCGGGTCACGTGGCCAGCGTGACAACGCTGCTCTGGCGAACCAGCGCAGCACACGGAAACGCCGTTTACCTTCCTGCTAGTAAGCGGTCCCTATTTATCTACTTGCACCCGGGGGTGCTTTCGAACTGCTAGGTTGGCAGGCGCTGGGACCGAGCAGACAGGAGCGCACCCCGCCGCGGGGATTCGAACCGCCAACCTTTCGATCGGCAAGCCCTAGGCACTGAGGCTTTTACCCACAGCGCCACCCGCGTCCCATTGCAGCCCAGATAGCTAAGTCTAAAAGCACGAGATACTCTTAATCTCAGGAGCATGGTTCAAGCCCCACATTAGGTGAAAGATTCCTGCATTGCCAGCGCCAGAGGGTTGGGCTAGATGACCCTTGTGGACCCTTTGCGACTCAAGCTTCGAGCCACAGCTTGACTCCCTCCACGAGGACCAGAGCATTCGCTGAGATTAATGTGCCGTTCAACAAGACTGCGTCCTTTCCGCCCATTTTGTATTTGGACGGCGCTGCTTTCAATATAAACCATTAGCCTAGGCAAACACGCCTTGCTTATCTTTTGCGGTTGGTGCCAAGCTGCCGTGAGTCTGCATTTTTGCGTGTGGCAAGTGAGGATCCCAGTTGCTTCATCATGTGTTTACTGGAGACAGGGCGGCTGGCGTCCCTTGTTTCGTTTCTTTGAAGAAGGTGCCTGGTTGCTCTTGTGCCACTAGGGGGAGATGTAAATCCTGCAGCCATAGCTGTCAAGCGTCCCTTATTTGGCGGGACAGTCCCTTATCCCAGCGCCATGTCCCGCTGCTGTCCCTTATTGATGAGGCTTCGTTTGGCTGCTGGCTGGGCTTTCTGCCTTTGGCTCGGAGGGGCTCAGAAGTTGAACATACCTGTGCCCAGAAAATCCCTTATTTTGGCTGCTGATCCCTTATTTTCGAGGCTGCTGGTTCCTTATTTTCAAATCTGTAAGTTGACAGCTGTGCCTGCAGCTCGACTGGAGAGAGGGCCACGATTCATCAACTCTCACTGGGGGAAATGTACAGTGGTACCAGGGCCGTCTTAAGCATATGCGGTGCCGGGGTGCAAAGATCTGCCCAGTGCCGTCCCCCCAGGTTCCCCAGAGTTATCGACCTTTTTTTAGGGGACTAACACCACGCTTATCTCTGCTCAGGAAAAGAAAACAGGAAACAGGTGCCTGGGGCTGCAAAGATGAAGGAAATGGACCGTGTGGGGAACAGGATTTAAATCCACATCACACACTTTAAAAAAAAGAAATCCCTCTTAAACGCCGCTAATAGAATCCAGCCAGATGGGCAGGGTATAAATACATTATTATTATTATTATTATTATTATTATTATTATTATTATTATTATACCACCTTTTCCTCCAATATGGGGTTACGTGCTTCTCCCTCCCATTTTATCCTCAAAACAACACCCCTGCCAGGTAGGCCAGGCTGAGAGATGGTGACTGCCCCAAGGTCACCCAGTGTGCTTCATGATGGAGGGGGATTCGAACCCTGGTCCCAGTCCGACACTAACCATTAAGCCACAGAGGCTCTCTGTTCTGGCGTCACACAATCTTGCTCAGTTCCAATCCTGATGTGGGGAAAACCTCTAAGCAACAAAGTAGAACCCCGTGAGTAGACAGTATGCTGATTTTTTTTAATCTTATGGTGAACATCATCATCATTTTTTAAAATCATTTTTATTGGTTTTCCCAATACAAAGTTGTAAACAAAGAATCAAAAAGTATATTCAAATAAAGAGATTCCTCCAAATCTCCGGACACTTCCCCGCCCCATCCACCCCATGGTGTCCCATTTTGAACACTAATTACTGCATATTCTTTCATACTTCAATTTTTATATCAAACCACATTGTCCGTGGTAATTGCTAAACTACAAGTGAGATCAAAATCCTGCTAATGTCCCCATCTGCTTACAGTGGTCTCCTAAGTAACTTATAAATTTTCTCCATTCTTTTATAAAGTTTTTGTCCTCTTGGTTCCCAAGTTTTCCAGTCAGTTTTGCCATCTCGGCATAGTCTATCAGCTTGGTTTGCTACTCCTCTCTGATAAGGACTTTGTCTTCTTTCCATCTCTGGGCTGGTAACGTCCGGGCAGCTGTTGTTCCATACATAAAAAGTCTCTTCTGTTCCTTTGAGATATCAGTACCTGTAATTCCTAACAGAAAAGGAATTAACAAAAGTTATTTTTTGTTAATTTGGTTTCTTAACAAAGAAATTTGGTTTCTTAACAAAAGTTATTTTAAACATTTTCTTCCTTTCATTATATATCATCTCCCAGAAAGCTTTTTTTTACCTTACAAGTCCACCACATATGATAAAAGTTGCCTTCTTTTTCTTTACATTTCGAACAAGTATTTGTAGTTGTCCTATACGTTATGGTGAACATCATTTGATCCACCTGTCAAGCTGCCCCACTCAGTTACTTTCCACATGCGTTGTGCAATTTTGAATCAGTGTTCCCATTTTTTATATATGGAAAACTGAGGCCAAGATGTTGCACTCATTCATTGCACCTGTAGGTCACACCCAAGCACACCTCTGTTCTCCTGCATAAACTAGAACACGTCGTGCCTCTTGGATAAAGGGCAGGTCAGCCAACATAAGCTTTGTGGAAACATCTAAACAAAATGGGGCAAGCTCGGAGTTAGGCATATTTGGGACAGTAGCATTGCCACCCACAGATTTTTTTACTGGGGAGGGGGGAAAGGGGGAGAGTGGGTTAGTTTTCCCACCCAACCCCAATATAAGGAGCATTTGCTCTCGTATCTCAGGTTCTACAAATGCTAAAAACTTTGGCAAAGTCTCTTGTTCAATGAAATCTTGCCCCACACCGCACGCCCCAATCAGCTCTGGGGATGCCCACTAATACTCAAGCAGTTTGGAGGAAGGAGAAAGGGGGGAAGTTCTGTGGTGCAAGCATAAATGTTCTAACACTTTAAAGATGCTCTCAAGGCAGAACTTTTAAAAAAATTCAGTACAATCACAGATAACTGGGAAACACTGGCCTGCGAGCGCTCCAATTGGAGAACAGAGCTATTGCATAGCCAACCTTACTGTATGCTAGTGAAACATGGACCACTTGTAAACGCCATCTCCAACTCCTCGAAAGATTCCATCAATGGTGTCTCCGAAAAATTTTACACATCACTTGGGAAGACAGGCGAACTAATTTCAGTGTACTGGAAGAAACAAAGATCACCAGTGTCGAAGCAATGATTCTTCAATTCGTTGGACTGGTCATGTTGTGCGGATGCCTGATGATCGTCTTCCAAAGCAACTACTCTATTCCGAACTTAAAAATGGAAAGCGTAATGCAAAAGAGGTTTGAAGACTCTCTCAAGGCAAATCTAAAAAAATGTAGTATAAACACAGACAATTGGGAAACACTGATGTGCGAGTGCTCCAATTGGAGAACAGCCTCTACCAAAGGTGTCGTGGGTTTTGAAGACGCTTGAACTCAGGACGAAAGAGATAAACGTGCTAAGAGGAAGGCACGCTTGGCAAATCCACACCACAATCAACTCCTGCCTGGAAACCTATGTCCTCACCTTGGAAGGACATGTGGATCTAGAGTTGGCCTCCACAGTCACTTATGGACTCAATGTTGAAACCATGTTTATGGAAGACAATCTTACTCGGCTACGAGGGATCGCCAAAGAAGAAGATATGTTTTAACAGAGGAAGAGCACTGGACGCTACCATTAAGGGGGTGGGCATTCAAATGAAGAAGAAGAAGAGAAGAAGAGTTTGGATTTGATATCCCGCCTTTCACTCCCCTTCAGGAGTCTCAAAGCGGCTAACAATCTCCTTTCCCTTCCTCCCCCACAACAAACACTCTGTGAGGTGAGTGGGGCTGAGAGACTTCAGAGAAGTGTGACTGGCCCAAGGTCACCCAGCAGCTGCATGTGGAGGAGCGGAGACCCGAACCCGGTTACCCAGATTACATGACTACCGCTCTTAACCACTACACCACACTGGCTGGGGATTTCCCCCCTTGGCACCCATTGATAGCAAGCAAATTTCTGCCCTTCATAGGCAAGGGTTGCACAAGGCAGAGAGGCCTTCTCCGATTTTGGCAACATAGTGGAATCTTCCAACTCATCCATTGGTTTTGTTAACTGGGAAAGAAGGAACTGAGCAGTTAGTCTTGGTATCTATTCGATTTTTATTTAGCAAGATTTATATATCACTTTGTCAAAATAATATGATTCTCTCAACGGTTCACATAAAAGATGTAAGATAAGTCACAAGCAAATACTGCTGAGATCAAAACATGTTTTGAAAACACCTGGCTGTAATAAAATGTATCACAGTATAGGGAAAAATCCTATATTTTTAAAGACAAATGTGCACCATAAAAAATGCACAAGTCTCAGTAGGCTCAAAAAGCACTTTTTAGCTGGCGCTGAAAACAGTACAAAGGAGGTTAATATTAATAGGCTGGGAGTTCCAGAAAACAGGGGATGCCAATATTGATTTCTCGCAAGTGCGTTGCAAACAAAGTGGTTGAGTATTGAGTGCTTTTCAAATGGATCTGGAGGCAGAGGAATTGAGTGTGGGTTTGGTTGTTGTTGTTTTGTATCTTGTTGTTTGGCAAAAACTTTCAAGGCCGCTAAAAGTCACAATCCAAGGATGTGAACGTTAAACTTGCAACTCACAAAACAGCAGCAGTGAAAGCAGGCATGCATGAATCATAATAAAACCGAATGCCCTTGATTTCATGGAATGCTCTTTGTGAGATGGCTTTGTTTGCCGGCTGAAAACATACTCTCTCTGTGCAGGCTTTGGGGGGAGTTTAATAATAATATTAATAATATTAATAATTTATTATTTGTACCCCGCCCATCTGGCTGGGCTTCCCCAGCCACTCTGGGCGGCTTCCGACAAAAATTAAAAAGACATTAAAATGTCACACATTAAAAACAGGGCTGCCTTCAGATGTCTTCTAAATGTCAGGTAGTTGTTTATCTCTTTGACATCTGATGGGAGGGCGTTCCACAGGGCAGGTGCCACGACCGAGAAGGCCCTCTGCCTGGTTCCCTGTAACTTGGCTTCTTGCAGCGAGGGAACCACCAGAAGGCCCTTGGCGCTGGATCTCAGCGTCCGGCAGAACGATGGGGGTGGAGACGCTTCTTCAGGTATACTGGGCCGAGGCCGTTTAGGGCTTTAAACGCCAACACCTATATTATTAGAAAGGCAGTTCTGAACGCCAGAAGAGCCAACCTGCTAGATCCAGCCAGTGGTCCATGTTGTCCAAAATCCTGTTCTTACAGTGACCAACCAGCTGTCTCTGGAAAGCCTGCAAGACGGACCTGAGAAAAACAAGAGCATTCATTCTCTCCACTCGCAATCCCCATCAGCTTGAATTCAGAGTGGCATCTTTGGCTCGGCGTTTCATCTGCTCCTCTTGTTCCATTAATTGGATGGCAGCAACCTTTTATGTTTTGAGGATTTGGCATGCAACCTCTCTCTGCAAAATACTGATGCAATCAACGGCACTTCTTGGCTGAGCAAACCTCACATGGGAATTTTGACTGTGCTGTTTCAGGTAAATGTCTCGTGGTGAGGAGGAGCGATTGCCTCTGGCTTTAAAAGAGGCTGTTGCGCGACCGCTCCTAAAGAACACAACTTTGGATGAAACTGGGGCGAATGTTTATTGCCCAGTTGCCAACATTCCTTTTGAGTACAAGGCGATCAAGAAAGTAGTCGCAGCACAATGATAGAGACAGGCTTGTGGTTTCAGGGTGGAACTGGCCTTGCCCGTCCCTGACAGAGAACCTTTATCAGCAAAGGGACGTCGAGAGTGTGACCTTGCATTTAGCACAGCCGCACCAGAAGTTTGCAACACTGCTCCTAAGGAAGTCAGCCAGACGCCCACAGCCCTGATATTTCATTTTCAGCTGAAAATGTGTTTCTTTTGCCAAGCGTTATTAAAGAATTGATACGATTCAGCTCGGTTGGCAGAGAACGAGGCTCTTCATCTCAGGGTTGTGAGTTTGAACCCCGTGTTGGATTCTATGACTCTTTGTAGTTTTGGTTGCTTGTTCTGTGTTTTAATAGTTTTATGATGTTTGAGCGATTTCATTGTACTTAGTCTTAATATTTTTATGAGCTGCCTGTTTATAAATATTAATAATGGTAGCAATCAAGCAGCGTAGGAGAATAACATTGTCTTCACCAGGCAGAGGGCCTTCTCGGTAGTGCCACTCGCCCTGTGCCCTCCCATCAGATGTCAAGAAAATAAACAACTATCTGACTTTTAGAAGAAATCTGAAGGCAGCCCTGTTTAGGGAAGTTTTTAATGTTTGATGTTTTGTTGTGTGTTTAATATTCTGTTGGGAGCCACCCAGAGTGGCTGGGGAAGCCCGGCCAGATGGGCGGGGTTTAAGGAATAAATTATTATTATTATTATTACAGTGGTGCCCCGCAAGACGAATGCCTTGCAAGACGAAAAACTTGCTAGACGAAAGGGTTTTCCGTTTTTTGAGTCGTTCCACAAGACGAATTTCCCTATGGGCTTGCTTCGCAAGATGAAACGTCTTGCGAGTTCTTGCGAGTTTGTTTCCTTTTTCTTAAAGCCGCTAAGCCGTTAATAGCCGTGCTTCGCAAGACGAAAAAACCGCAAGACGAAGAGACTCGCGGAACGGATTAATTTTGTCTTGCGAGGCACCACTGTATTATTATTATTATTATTCTTACACTCAAGAGGTAGCATAGTAAGTGTCTCTTGTGAGTGTATTGTACGCAACCCAGGTGCCACCAGTGAAAAGGCCCTGTCTCCTCACCTCCTATAAAGGCCTGTGGAATGGAAGGTGAGATTTAATTCTGATCTCATCTTTGCGTGACGGATCCCAGCAGAAGTCACTGTGGCCACCTTGCCTTGTCATTCAGATTGTAATCCTCCTGAGGCAGGGACCTTCTTAGCTCACGCCACCCAGTTAAGTTAGTGGTATATGCTACAGTACTAATAATGTTTAAGAACAATAGATGATATGCCTTGTGGGACACCTTTGGGCGAAGAAAGGGCTAAGGAGTAAGCCCTACACAAAGATAGTTGAATACCTCCTTCTGGCAGCTCCTGCAGCCAAGCTGGTGCCAAACATATTGCTTTCCTTTCTTTGGGACCACATCAACAAAGCTGAGAGGAGGGGTCTT